ATCATTTTCAATAAGTATGCTTCAGATGTATTAAAATTTTAGTGTTATTACTCATTGATAGTTTTTCTCTTTTTAACTTGTTTCTTTAGTGTTTTAACATTTGTGTATTATGTAAAATGCATAAAAACTGTTAAATGTGCTTTGCTAATGCATTTCTCTGAAGTTGAATATATTTTTATTACTTTCAATATTTTCTGTATTAGATGTCAAGGCAACAGGAGCAGCCAGGGCAAGGAATAGCAGCAGATGCAGCTGATGGACAAAGGCGGGATTCCAGATCTGCTGTATTTCGTATTCCAGAATTCAAGTGGTCTCACATGCATCAGCGTTTGCTCACTGATCTCTTGTTTTCCATAGAAACAGACATACAGATGTGGAGAAGGTCTGTCCATATGTTTATTACAGAAGATGTGTGTGCATCTTAGTCTTTGTGTTTAAAGAAATGTGTACACATACTTTCAGTTATTTTCCAACCTTGCATTTACATTTGGTTGAAAAGTAGAATATATATTTTTTCTGTAGATGGTTTGGTTGAATTAACTTTTACTTTCCATTATAAGAATCCTTATCTGGATTACAAAAACAAAAAAATTTTTTTTCCTTTTTGATCGTTTAAGGTTTCCAATAGCATATTTTATAGGATGGAATCTGCCAGAAGGTAGGTCTAGCAAGTGAGGATTTTAGGAAAAGCACTAAAAGGTACTTAAGATTTAAGTATAACATTCCCCATGTCTATAGCATAAGAAATCCGTGTATTTCAGAATATCTTCCATTCTGTGATTTACAATTTTAAAAGTGCCTTGTTTATTTGTATGTGACTCTTACTCTATTTAAGAGTATTTTATGGCATTACCTGATAAAATGCATTTTGAATAGCCCATTTAACTCCTCTTAATTTTTGCCACATGAATTGTCAATAAAGATCATTTCATCCAATTTTAAAAATCAAATATGAGTAGTGCTTAGTTTTAGCACTAATGAAGGACATGCACAGTAACATAGAATAGTTTTCTTCTTCTGAGAAAGTATACCCCAGACACTTGCTACATCATTATCTTTCTTGAGTTTTCAAGATGAATCAAAAGCACCTTTTTGTCCTCCTTCTCCTCAAGTAGGCTAACTTTAATTTCCTTTTCTTAGCTTTATTAGTAAACATCATTTATCTTTGGACAGCCACTCGACAAAGACAGTTATGGACTTCGTGAACAGCAGTGATAATGTCATCTTTGTCCACAACACAATTCATCTCATCTCTCAAGTGATGGACAATATGGTCATGGCTTGTGGGGGGATCCTGCCGTTGCTTTCAGCTGCGACGTCGGCTACAGTAAGGCCTTCACTACTGTATTCAATCAGTGTGAAAGCAGAGTGTTATGCATCCTTATTGACTAAAACCATGCATGTAGTGGCTACTCTTTATCAAGTGGCTATAAATTACAAGCAAGAATCTTTTGCAATTACCTGAAAGAATTTTAAAATCTGAGGAAAGAAGACTAAAAAGAAAGTTGATTTCTTAGGACGAGTCGGCTAGTGAAGAATATGGTCAACAGTAATTCATCTGGATGTTCCCATTGCCCTTCTTTTTAAAATAAGTATGTCACTCTATTGAATTAGATACCTGAAAGCTTTACTTTTTATAATACTTGGAAATTCAAGGACTATATTGTTGAATTAGATTTTTGTCAGGCTCTGCATCTAAATGTCAAACTTTATTCCTTGCAGCATGAACTGGAGACTATTGAACCTTCTCAGGGTCTTTCAGTAGAAGCCTCTGTGACATTTTTGCAGAGGTTAATTAGCCTTGTGGATGTGCTTATATTTGCAAGTTCTCTTGGTTTCACTGAAATTGAAGCTGAAAAAAATATGTCATCTGGAGGAATTTTGCGACAGTGTCTCCGACTGGGTAAGCTGTTAACCATTAGTTTTAATCCTTAGGAATTTAATATCTTCAGCATACATTAAATTGAAAATGGATTTTCTTCTTTTTGGGGAAAGATTGTGTGCAGGCAAAGTTGTCATACATGTACATTTTAGTGTATTGTGCATAGTAGTAGCACGTTGGGGAATGGGGAGCACATAATTTCAAAAGTCTGCTGAGGTGATTCTGGCTGGCAGACATTTTCCCTGTCCCTCAGTCCCTTTTGGTCTAAGGTAGTGCTTCTCAATCAGTGTGACTCATCTGAGGTCTTGTTCAAATGTATACTAGATTATATATGTCTGGGGTGAGACATAAACTTGTCTCTGAGGCCCTTGTGATGCTGGTTTCTCTTGTTTTACACATGAGAACCAGAATTCTAAAGTGCATCATTCAGATACGGCCTTCGTTCAGACAAGTTCAGGTGTGTTGGAAAGCAGTTAATAAAACAGTTCTGCTTTCCTGGAAGCAGTTCTTGGGTA